GGGACAGTTGAACCCGGAGGCCTCCACCCCTGTTTAATGATGGATGGTTTCTTTTCACAAAGATGGCCTCCTTTACTCCTCTCTCAAACCATCGTTCCTCTCTGTCCATGATGTGAACATCTTCATCCCTGAAAGAGTGACCGCTGGCCTGGAGATGAGTGTAGACCACAGAGTCCTGGCCTGATGATGTTGATCTTCTGTGCTGGGCCATCCTTTTGGCCAGTGGCTGTTTAGTTTCCCCGATGTAAGACTGATCACAGCCCTCCTGACACTGAACAGCATACACAACATTACTCTGTTTGTGCCGGGGGACTGGATCTTTGGGATGAACCAGTCTTTGCCGTAATGTATTTTGGGGTTTAAAAGCCACTGGGACGTTATGTTTAGAAAATAAACGTCTCAGTTTCTCTGATACTCCCTCAACATATGGAATGACCACTGGTCTGGGTCTGGGTTCCTCCTTTTCACCTGTTGGCTGACTGGAGTCCTGTTTGGGTTTCTTCTCTGCTTTCAGGAAGGCCCAGTTAGGATATCCACATTGCTCTAGAGCCTGTCTTGTGTGGGATTTCTCCTTCTGCCTGGCTCCTGAGCTAGTGGGGACACTGTCTGCTCTGTGATACAGAGTCCTGATGACTCCTAACTTGTGCTCCAAAGGGTGATGGGAGTCAAACTGCAAATACTGGTCTGTGTGGGTGGGTTTGTGGTACACCACAGTTTGCAATTGTCCTCTATCAGAGACTGAGACCTCACAGTCCAAGAAAGCCAACTTGCCATTTTTTTCATCTTCTCGTGTGAACTTGATGTATTTATCCACAGAGTTGATGTGGTCAGTAAAATGTTGGACTTCCTGAGATTTAATTTTAACCCAGGTGTCGTCAACATACCTGAACCAATGACTTGGTGGTGTCCCTGAAAAGGACGTCAAGGCTCTCTTTTCTACCTCCTCCATGTACAGGTCGGCAACAATAGGAGAAACTGGAGACCCCATAGCACACCCATGTTTCTGCCTATAATATTGCTCCCCATATGTGAAGTAGGTTGACTGCAGGCACAGTTTCAAGAGTTGACACAGTTGTTCTGTGGAAAGCGTGGTCCTGCTGCTCAGAGTGGTGTCTGATTTTAATCTTAAACTGACCACCTCTACTGCATCATCAACAGGAATGCACGTAAAGAGTGATGTGACATCAAAAGAGACCATTGTTTCATCAGTCTCCATGATGACATCCCTCACCTTATCCACAAAGTCCATGGTGTTCTGTATGTGGTGTTCTGAGCTGCCAACTAAAGGGATGAGTACAGACGCCAGATATTTGGAAACATTGTAAGTGACAGAGTTAATCATGCTAACGATTGGTCTTAAAGGTACACCTTGTTTGTGTGTACCTTTAAAAGCAGGGAAGATTGGACTCTGGAGCAATGGAAGAAGGTCATGTGGTCTGATGAGTCCAGATTGACCCTGTTCCAGAGTGATGGGCTCATCAGGATAAGAAGAGAGGCAGGTGAAGTGATGCACCCATCATGCCTAGTGTCTAGTCATCAATAAAAGATTTTGGTGAAAAATTATTGCAACACTGGATGGAAATAAATCTTGTGACATTGCAGAAGCTTATTGAAACAATATCACAGTAAATGCTGCTGTAATCAAAGCTAAAGGCGGTCCAACGAAATATTAGTGTGGGACCTTTTTTGGTGGTGACTTTTTTTTTGGCCAGGCAGTGTATCTTAAAACAATCCATCGTGCCACATTTTGGACAGAAGCTAAATCAAAACCCAGAATCAGTCGGTCCTTCCATCGTCATTTCACTGTAAAAGTTGCCAAAGTTGACGGAGGTTTGTGATGCTTTGTTGTTGTTTTCCTAAGATCCCATCAGAGCTTTTGATCAGATGGAGGTCTCGACTTTGATTGGGCCAATGAAACGCCTGAATTATTTGATCTTTTAGTCATTATTTGTAGATTTACTGTGTTTGTCTTTTTGCGCGGGCCACACAGTTACAGCTAATCAGATTTGGGTTCAAGTGTTTGAGTGTGCATGAGCAGACCTGTCCAGGTACTGAAGAAGATCCGTCTCAGGTCCATCAGGAAGACAGAAGACCTTCTGAAGCAGAGGCAGCAGGTGGACCCCCTCAAACCAGATGTTACCGTTCCCTGGCTGGAGACAGAAAAGACAAAACGAAGCCTGAAGTTACAGCATAAAGGCGTTTCAGGGTCACCATGGTAACCACACAATGTGTCTCTCACTCACTGATAGCACTCTTAATAAGACAGATATAAATGCAGAGTACAAAATAAGCCTTTAAATTGGATGTTAATGTGTCGAAACTATAAATCGCATTAAATCCTGAACTGGAAGTCTGAAGCATCTGGTTGCCCAACGTGGAAACTTTTATGTCTTCAGTGTTTTATGTGGAAGAGATGAAGGTAAAAATTAAAAATAGCCTTCACACCAGTTTTGAAGAGAAACTCTGAGCTTGGACACAATGGAAGTAAATGAGTTATTTGAAGTGCATTTTCAACAGGTCTGAGGCTCAATGAGACTAATCTGTATAAATAAAGGTTGAATGGAAAAATCTGAACGGGATCTGAAATAAAACCATAAAGCTTATACCAGTGAGAGGCACACAGCTTGAAAGAAGGCTAAAGGGTCCACGTGTTTATAGATTTATAAACATTATAGAAAAAAGAAGGGCTTGTGTGCAGAGAAGTTGTAAAGTTAAGACCGCTTGAATGTTACTGATGACATCAACTTGCACAGTTAAGTGCTCAAAATGAACAATGCAGTAGCTAAAAGGAATAGATCTCAATATATTTCTGTGGAAAATATATTTTTCGTAATGTTAAATTACTCACAAATATACAAGGTAAAAACACTAAAACCCATAACTCGTCATTTCTAATGAGAAGAGTTCTGATGTGTATATGAATTGTTACAGAGTAAGTAATCTGATTGTACAAACATACAGAAGAAACTACAAACAGGTGAACGAATGCTGACTCAGCGTTCACACAGTAAGGATGCTTCAGTTCTTCTACATTAGTACCTTTGATGAAAGTTACCTGCAGAGCAGCGTTGATCTGATCCTTGATGTTTTTAATGACGTAGCCTTCCACTCCTGAATGGTTACTGGTCCTGAGCAGGTACCTGCGACCACAAAACACATTAGTTATAGTTGGGACAAAGAGAAAGAGTTATGAGACATTTACAGGGTCAAAATGAGGAACTTACTGGAAGAACCTGTACTTGGCTTCAGTACCAAACTTATCAATGCTCAGCTGGAACACCTTCAGTCCTTTAGTCCTCTGAGGACAAAACCAACATGCTCTGTAAAGACTGTTGCTTGAGCATAAAGACAGCAAATAAAGCCAAGCTGAATAAAAGTGTTTTCACAACTCACCAGAACGTCTTTAGGACATATTGTCATGACCTTTATAAGGTTCTGAAAGTAGACACTGAAATTAGACCGAGCCGAAGACGACATTCGTGTCATAAAGTAAATAACTTTCTTTACCTGAGGGACTGTGAGGAAAGTTTTAATCTCCAGCAGATCTGCTGGAAGACTAGAGCTCTCTACCCGCAGCAGACTCTTCTCATACAGCTCCTGTGTGGTCACAACACACACACACACAAACACACACACACACACACACACACACACACGGATGAAAGCTGAACTGAGTTCTTCCTCCAACAGAGCTCCATTAAATTCATTGTTAAAAATGAAGACATGATGCCGCCACAGCAAACGTTCAACTCTCATCACGGTCAGAAGACATCCCCACAGTGATGCACGGTGGTGGCAACATCATGCTGTGGGGATGATTTTCATGAGAAGAGACTGGGGAAATGATCAGAGTTAAATAAAAAAACAGGCAAAGCAAAATATTGAGAAATTCTTGAAGGAGACCTGCTAGTCTTCCAGAGGTTTGGAGAAACAGGTTTCGTGTTCCACCTCATCTCCATCTTATACCGCTTTTCTCTAGTTTGGGTCACAGAGGCAACAGGTCCAGGAGAGAAACTCAAACGTTCCTCTCCCCAGTAACACACTGCAGCTCCTCCTGGGGAACCCTGAGGCATTCCCAGGTCAGAGAAGATACACAAGCTCTTTAGCCTGTATCAGTGCCCGAAACACCTCTAAGGAGGCATCCTAAACAGATGCTGAACCACCTCAGCTGAATGGTTTTGATGCAAGAAGCAGCGGCTCTGCTCCGAGCTCCTCACCTCAACTCAACGGCTGAGCGTGGCCACCCTAAGAAGGATGCTCATTTCATCTGGGATCTCATTCTTTTGGTCATGATCCAAACCTGATCACCATAGGAGAGGGTTGGAACGTAAACACACCAGTAAACAGAGAGCTTTGCCTTTCGCCTAAACTCTTTCTTCACCATGAATGACTGCACCAACACCCTCATTACTGAGGACGAGGCCCCAATTTAAGCCTTTATTTTGTGTTGACTAGTCCCTTTATAAAACAGCAAATATGACTGTTGTACACAGCTTTTGTGAAAATGGTCCCTTGAGAAAAAAAAAAAATTTAAAAAGAAAATACAAACATAAAAAAGGGGTTTTAAGTGTGACTTAAGGGCAACACAGTGGCTCAGTTGGTAGAGCTGTTGCCTCTCAGCGAGAACGTTGCCTGTTCAAGTTTGCATGTTCTCTCCGTACATGTGTGGGTTTTCTCCGGGTACTCCAGTTTCTTCCCACAGACCAAAAACATGCATGTTAGACTGATTGGTGACTCTAAATTGTCCCTAGGTGTGAGTGAGAGAGTTCTAGAATTGCGCCGCTCAAGGTGGCTGCATGTTGGAGCAGCTCTGTTACTTTCATTCTGAGAATTTGCTTTTGGAAACTTTAATTCCTCTTTTTCTGGATGTAAATCACATTTTTTGGATGATTGTTTCCTCTGGTATCAGATGCTGTGCAGCTGGAAGGATTTTTACTGAAGCTTTTTTAGTTTTGGACATTTATTATGATGCGTAACCATGGCAGCAAGGCAGTTTTCTACAACCAACAGCAGCTGATTAACATCTCAAAAGCTCAAATAATATCTCAACTACAGCCCCAAATCTCAAATAAGTTGAAAGGATGTTCTGTGGATGGATTCTCATCTACCTGCCAGCTGTGCTCGAGTGCCTGACCACTGAGATCCTGGAACTAGCAGGAAACACGGCTCATGACAGCAGAAGGACAGGATCGTCCCTCAGCACCTACAGTTAGCTGTCCGCAGCGATGAGGAGCTCGGCAAACTGCTGGGAGGAGTGGCCATCGCTCTGGGAGGAGTTCTGCCCAGCATTCGGGCGGTCCTACAGCCCGGGGGAACCAAGTCTGGGTGAACGGATCAGACGGCTTCTGCGGCCAGTTTCTTAGGATCCACTGTGGGATGGACCTTTTACAAGAGATCCTTCCTGTCTACAACCATCAGTATCTATAACATCTCTTAATAAAATGAGGATAACGAGTTACAACAACAAATAATTTCCCTCTGGGATTAATAAAGTATTTTTGAATTGAATTGAATTGAGAGAGTGAATGGTTGTTTGTCTCGTTTGTCTCTATGTGTCCCTGTGATGGACTGAGACCTGTCCAGGGTATCCCTCGCCTCTTGCACAGTGATGGCTGGACATGGGTACCAGTGACCCCCGCGACCCAAAAAGGAAGAAGCAGGTAAAGATAATGGATGGATGGTGTGACTTACCAGTCCTTTCTGAAGCCTGGAGTCCTCGTTTCTATTTAAAAAAAAAGGTTAGAAAAAAAAAACTGTCAAAACACAAGGTAAACTCTAGAAAGGTTAAATATGTAAATTAGTGTTCACACTTAATTGTGTTCTACGTTATATTCTTTAAGATACCTGGAGCTGCTATTAAGTGAAAAATGACCAGAAAAATGTTTGTTTACTAAACTGGGTGAGTTTATGTGCTGCTTTCAGAGGTCTTTGATAAGAGAAGGAGAGAATCAGATCTGTAAACGCACAGTGGAGCTGCAGTATTACTGTATCATGTATTACCTTGACAGAAGGAGGGAAATGTGCTCCATGTTACTCCGAAGACAGAACACTGGGCTGAGAAGAGGGTGTACAGCGTGTTAGCAGGATCAACACCTTTAAACTTGATCAAACATTTCAGTAACAACAGAAAAAAGAGCCAACCTGCTCCAGCAAAAATCAAAAACATCTTGTGTATCGATGCAGTGGCACTTTAAAGATAAAACATACGTCCTCTTACTTAAAAACACTGGGGAACGTATCAGCAGCCAGGTGATGGACAAACACCAGGTGAGCCAAGCAGGCCAGAGAGCTTTTAGGGTACCGCACCTCCTCCTCCAGGAAGCCCAGAACCTGTTTCCTCTTCAACAGAGGGTGGAACACGAGAGCTGGGAGGGACTCTCCGACAGCACCGAGAATCTCCTGTGAAACACAGAAACACACGGAGAATCAACGTTAACACAACATGCGATGCTCTAAGTGTATTGGCATAAAGCAGTAAATGATTTTCTTGCACCAGAATCTCTGTGGCAAACGTCCTGAGGGGAGACAGCGGCAGCGTGTCGGGGTCTCTGAGCTGGACGTCCAGCAAAGGCTGAGTCAGGGTCTTCATGCAGCTTCAGAACAGAAAAAACATTCATATTTATTCAAACACATCATGAAAGGCCAAGCAAGGACATCGCCCAGTGCCTTTCATGCTTTAGACAAAGATCATCTTAAGGAGAAGGGTCAGGGTGACAGCTGTTTTGGTCAAACCTTACTTGGATTATGTGTTGGGAATAACTCTCAGTGACTACCACACCAAATATATGGGCAGTGTTTATAAAACTGAGTTACAGCTACCTTTGTGTTGGCAAAGGTTGATTAGCTGTGGCAGCCATCTTGAATTGGGATGACTCCAAAAGTTAATGAGTTATAGAAGTACAACCAACTACTTTCTGGGAGTTTCATTACATTCTGTCCAGTAGTTTGTTAGATATTTTGCTAACACAGCCGACATGCAAACACACAGAGAAAGTATTATTCACCTTTCAGTGGAGTGATAATAATGGCAGAGAACACAGAAAGAGGAATCGTCTCTCCAGTTGAGCTTGTTTTACTCACAACTTCAGGAGTTCTGTCCGCAGCTCGTCCTCCTTTGCCCCGTCCTGTCCACCTGCTGTCCCGTCTGAGTTGTCCCTCTGCGTCCTGCTGCTCAGGAGGGTCTGCCTCGCCTCCTGAACAAAGGGCCTGACGAACTGGATCAGGTCGGTGCAGCAACGACAAAGTGAAAAGACGTCGTCCTCCTCCTGCTCTTTGGTGTCAGGGACAGGCAGTTTGTCCAGCTGGTCCAGCACCGAGGACAGGGTCATACCCAGGGACGCCGCTTTCCTGTTCCCCAGACACAGCAGCACTGGTGGGACAGGGGAGGTGGAGCAGTGAATCCAGTGGTCTGATTGGAAATGTCTCAAGAGTTCATTTAGTAAGAGAACACGTGTTAGAAACCTTTCTGTAATGGGCTGAGAAGAAGATGGAGACTGTCAGCTATTGTGTCGGGATCATCGTGTTCCAGTTCCTCCAGAAGACCAATCAGCAGCTCTTTAGGCCTGCAGGTCTACAAAACCAAAAATACAGATTCCTGGACTTAAACCCTGCTAGTGTCATGCCCTATTATTAAAAATGTCCTGTTAACTGATCTTAGAATAAAAAGTTCATTAAAAAAGTAGCACATCAAAGTAACGGTCGTTGTAATGATCCATTCCTGCCTTTCAGACCCGCAGCACATCTCTGGGTTTGGGGTTGCCTCAAACTGAGGAGTTCAAGCATCTTAACGAGTGACGAGAGGACGGAGCAGGAGATGGATTTATAGATCAGGGCCTCATCTGCAGAGGAGAGGGCTGTGAAGAAGGAGCTGAGCTGAAATCAAACACTCCTAATGGTTCCAACCCTCAGCTATGGTCATGAGGCGTCAGAACTCACGGCATGAGGGTCATAGATCCTGGATACAATCAGCTGACATGAGCTTCGAGTGACGAGTGGCCGGGCTCAGCCTTAGAGGTAAGAAGACGAGCTCAGAGTAGAGCAGCTGCTGCTCCTCCATTAAAAATAATCTAAGCAGGACTCTGGACGCCTCCCTGCTCTGGGAACACCTTAGGAGCCACCAGAATGAGCTGAAGAGTGTCGATGGGGAGAAGATGTCTGGTTTTTCTTCTGAACCTGTTGCCTCTGAGACCCAACTACAGATAAGTGGAAGTGGATGGATATAAACGTTTACCACTTTTAAAAGCTGCCATCCTCCTCTGTCGGCTACACTTTACCTTTCACTAAAAATGGTCACGTCCTTCTCTATGGACTGCTGGTCCAACAGGACAGGAAAAACCTCCACAACATCAGGCTGTGATCAAAAATCACTGGACGTCCTTCTCGCTCTCTCTTTGTGAGCAGGTTGGCTCTTTGGTCAGATGGTTCAGAACTCATTTCAAGCTCTTTTCCCAGGTGTTGAGTGACAGCTGTCTGGTCGTAGACTTTAATGTCCAGCCTGCAAGACTCAGAGCAGCAACCTTCGTCCCTCAGGCTGTTCTGCTCCTACACCCCCTCACGGACTCTTTAAACCACCATAATAAGCTTGGTTGCTTTACATTTCATATATAAGTTTTGTTAAACAATAATTTTTGGCAGGCAGCATGGTGGCACAACTGGTAGAGCTGCTGCCTCTCAGCGAGCAGGTCCTTGGTTCAAACCCCGGTCCAGGGGCCTTTCTGGGTGGAGTTTGCATGTTCTCTCCGTGCATGCGTGGGTTTTCTTCGGGTGCTCCAGTTTCCTCCCACAGACCAAAAACATGCATGTTAGGCTGATTGGTAACTCTAAAATTGTCCCTAGGTGTGAATGAGAGAGTGAATGGTTGTTTGTCTCGTTTGTCTCTATGTAGCCCTGTGATGGACTTGCGACCCGTCCAGGGTGTACCCCGCCCCTCGCACAGTGATTGCTGGACATGGGCACCAGCGACCCCCGTGACCCAAAATGGAATAAGCGGGTAAAGATAATGGATGGATGGATGGATAGTTTTTGGCACAGAGGGAAAAAAATGCCCTGTTTTTAAGGATTATAATTTAAAGTTTAAGATTTTTATCAAAACATTTACTAACAAGCTGTAACTCCTCCATCCCTGTGTGCTCCTTAGAAACATGGCCTGTCACGGATTCTGCTTTCACACTAAATCATGATTCTAATCACTTGCTGACATTATACACGCAGCATCCCCTAGTTATCAACTTCCTGCACTGAAATATAAATTAAAGCCAAAACAACAATCCTAGCTTTTTTCTCTACATTTGTTTTTTCCACGCTGTCCCAACAGTTTCTGACTCGGGCTTGACAAAACCTTGTTGAGAAACGATGTTATCAGCAGTACTGCAATGAAGGTGAGGTGAGGTGCTGAGCAAGTGTGTGGACCTTTATGAGGTGGTTGAAAATGGCCAGGCACTGAGGAAGATGCTTGTCTTCTTTCTTTCGCAGCACCTGAACCAGTGGAGGCAGCAGGTTCCAGCCCAAACTTCTCACCAGGTTCTGCACAGAGATTACAGCCAGGTCAGGGAGTACCACCACAAGGGTCAGCATCATCTCTGATGACCGTACCTGATTCTTTTCATCCAAGATGATGCTGAGGACCTGCGGGCTGTTCCCCTCCTCGATGCAGGTCCGCCCAGCAGTCGTGAAGACGTCATGATCCTCCGCGGTGTAGCTGTCATCTGGGAGTGTTTGCTGTGTCCAACAAGAAATGTAAATTGCCCACCATGTTCATGTTAAGAGTTTTAGAATAAGATCAGCTCATGTTGAGAAATGACACAGTTGTAACTGTGTTAGGCAAACCTTAAAAACAGTGGTGTGATCTCAGTGGACACTGAAAGAAGAAAATGTTACACACAGAGGATTTGTTGCAAACGGCTCTCAGACAACAAAGTTTAGGTCCATTTCTGTAAAACTGACGGAGGTAAATACATTTTTGGTGATGACGTATGTCGATTAGCTGCGATGTCATCTTAGACCGACTCCCCGAGTTAAGTTGTAGACAGACATGAAATGATTACTTTTTGTAGATTTCATTAAAATTCATTCAGTGCTTCACAGGGAATGAAGCTGATAGACAAGAGCTGACTCCAAATATTAATAGCAAAATTTTAAACAAATATATTGTGCAATTAGTCATAAGAAATTAAATGTACTGTTGAACAGTCTCAGCTACTACCACACAATGTTTTAGTTCAATATCTGTTCAAGATCAACTGGAGCTGGCAGCCATCTTTAGTCAGGTCAGCTCTAAAAGTTAATCAGTTGTAAATGTACATCCAACCATTCGTTTTCTGTAAATTTTATTTTAAAAATTCAGCGGCTCACAAGGTATTTTGCTAACAGAAAAAAACCATACACAAGAAATGTTAGTGTATTAGTTTACTGTTTATAGTTTTACAGTGTTTTGCCCCAATATGTAAGAATGTGCTGTCTGCTTAGTTTTCGTCCTAATGTTCTAGGTGTCAAACTCCGGTCCGTAGGGGCCACTATCCTGCAAGATTTAGTTATTTAGTTTATTTAGTTTTTCTGCAAACTGAAATGATTGAATTACCTCCTCAACATGACATCAAGTTCTGGAAAAGTCTGGTAATGACCCGTTTGTTTAAATCACATGTGTTAAACTGTGGAAATATCTAAAACCTACAGGACAGTGGCCCCTGAGGATGAGAGGGAGGAGAACAGAGAGGGACCAAAGCTCTTTTTTATTTTCTCTGTTACAGAGTGAAATCTGAAAACCAGTCACTGGGGGTGCGCAAGCCAGTGTACATATCGTGCTGGTCCCAAGCGCGGGTAAAGGGTGAGGATTGTAGCAGGAAGAGCACCCGATGTAAAACACTTTTGCCGAAACCATCAAAAAGTTTACAAGATAGTTACGACACCAGTTATGTTGTATGGTCTGGAGACAGTGACATGGACAAAAAGACAGGAGAGAGAACTGGAAGTGGCAGAAATGAAGATGTTGAGGTTCTCCTTAGGACTGACAAGGGTGGATAAGATTAGATAGAGATAATCAGAGTTACAGCACAGGTTGAACAACTGGGAGATAAAGTGACCAGACTGAGATGGTTTGGACATGTCCAGAGGAGGGACAGTGGATATATTGGTAGAAGGATGTTAGAAATGCAGCTGCCAGGAAAAAGACAAAGAGCAGATATCTGGATGCAGTTAGAGAGGACATGGAGGTAGTTGGAGTGAGGACAGAGGATGCAGAGGACAGAGTGAGATGGAGGAGGACGACTCGCTGTGGAGACACCTGAAGAGAGAAAAGCCAAAAGAAGAAGTTATATCTGAAAAGTCTCCACACGCCCGTTGATGTGCAAAACTTGTAAAATATGAAAAATGAGTCCACAATAAATCATTTCTATATTTTTTTTTCCAAATTTACTGACACATACACACATATCTTGTACAATTTAAGTGAAAAAAAGTATTTTAGGGGAAAATAAAAATATGCAATAAGCTGGTGGCACACGTATGAACATTCTTAATATTCTGAATAATTATTAATCCTTAGTATTTAGTTGAAGTACTTTTTGATTTAATTAAACCTTCATTCTCATTCAGTTGGTCTGTCAGCAGGCCACACCACCACTTCATATTTACCAGCTCTGCTAAAGTTATCTCCTTATCTGTTAGACTGCCCGTTGTGCACAGCTCTCTTTGAGTCACGACACAAATGTTCCAACATCTAAACCCTGGACAGTACATTCTAAAATACTTTTTTTCTTTTGAAGCTATTTGTTGTTGATCTGGATGTTTGCTTAGGGCCATTCTTGTTTTGTTAAAATTAAATTCCTCTTCATCTTTAGCTTTCTGGCAAACTTGAAGGTTTTAGATCCACCTTGACTAAAACCTCTGTTAGAAAGAGAAAAACCACATCATGATACTACCAACACCATGCTCTATAGTGGGGATGGTGCTCTTATATAGCTTTTGGACAACTTTGCTCTCATCAGACATGATCACATTTTCCCACAGGCTTTTGTGTTTGTTTATTTTTATTTTTTGTTTGGCTGTGGCTTTCAACAATAGGATCATTTTAATGATTTGCCAGCTCTCTGGGCACCAAATTAACAGAGTAAATACTTCAAATTTTCTACCAGGACAGTTAAAATGTATGTTATGGTCCTCAGCATCACTATTTTTGTTGCTGCTGCTAAGAGTCTGTCATTTTGATTAGGTTGTGTGGACTTTTTATATCCACTGGATGTTTGAGATTTGTCACTCCAACATATAAATAAGATTAATCTATGAACCTAAATCATTAATAGGGAACATCCAAATGTCCTTGATGAGGGTTTGATAGTTATTCAGGACAGAATCCAGCGGAGTTAGCTGAAAACATTTTATTTGGTTTCGTTAAAAACTACATAGTTAGTAGATCAGGTGTGAACATTTTTAGAAACTCACACATCTCTGGACCACATCACTGAGCTGCTCCAGAGCCATCCCTGCTGCTCTCAGCTGGGCTGTACATTCAGTAACAACGAGCACAAACACAAGGCAAAGCATCAAACACAAGGTTACAGAATCCTCCAGACGATTAAATTACACATATGTTTTCAGACTGAGGCCAGTTTGAGCTCCGGAGTGTGAAAATTACGCATGAGACAGAAAATGTTAGCGCTAGCTAAACATGTAGCTTTTCTCTGGGTGATAAAAACAAACACAAGAAACACTGAGCTCCTCTAATTACAGAAGATACATTTGACTGCAGAAAAGAAACGTGGCTGACCTCTTCTTCATGTCCCAAACAGATTAAAAACTACAACTTGGTGCTACCCCGCTGTAGCGCGAACTACTTGGATTGACCCCTCTCGGCTGCCGTAGACTTTCTACGTCAGAGGTCAAAGTTTACTGGAAATCAAAAACAGAAAGAATGGAGTCGGCAGAAAGGAGAAGTTTGGCAAAGACCCCCAGGAAGGGTTAGTTACATGTCAGAATTTACTCTGTCATAGGAGGGAAGATGTTGGAGCTCGTTATGAGCTAACCAGAAACAACAAAAGTGCTTTTATGAAGCGTCTGTTGATGTTTTCCGTCACAATTCTTTCTGTTTTGACAGGAGGGAAACCTAAAGCTCTCACCGCCGAAGAAGAAGCGAGACGGTAAAGAAACAGTTCTCTTTTAATTGGATGTTAGTGTTTCCCTGCTTTAGGCTGAGCCTTGTTGTTATGTGTCCGTCAGGAGAGAGGCAGTGAAGGAAAGGCTGCGGGAGAAGCTGGAGCTGGAGAGGAGAGCTCTGCAGGTGGTGGAGAGGCTCCTGGAGGACAGGGTGACCGAGGACTTCCTGACTGACTGTGTAAGGGTCTCACTTTGGACAACCTGCTGCACACAGAGTCAGTGCTTCTTATCATGTTTCATACCACAGACAGCAGGGTTATCTCTAACAGTTAATGCCACAGTTTTAAGTACAGATTCATGCGTAGTTCTTAAAGTATGTGTTGAGGATTACTCTCAGCTACTACCACACCAAATATTAGCTTGGTATTTGTAAAAATGGCCGAGTTATGACCTATTTTTGTTTTCTAAAATCAGTTACATGTGGCAGCCATCCATCCATTATCTTCTGCTTGTTCAGAAGGCGGGTCGTGGGGCAGCATCTTGAGCAGGGAGGTCCAGACATCTCTTTACACAGCCACCTCTTCCAGATTTTCTGGGAGGATTCCAAGACCTTCCCAGGCCAACTGAAAGACAAATAGTCTCTCCAGCGTGTCCTGGGTCTTCCCTGAGGTCTCCTCCCAGTCGGACATGCCCGAAGGGAGGTGCCCAGGGAGCATCCTTACCAGATGCCCAAACCACCTCAACTGGCTCCTCTTAACATGGAGGAGCAGCGGTTTTACTCTGAGTCTCTCCCGGATAACTGAACTTCTCACCCTATCTCTAAGGGAGAGTCCAGCTACCCTGCAGAGGAAACTTATTTCAACCGCCTGTTTCCTCAATCTAATTCTTTCAGTCACTATCCAGAGGTCGTGACCATAGGTGAGGGTAGGAACGTAGACCGACCGGTAAACAGAGAGCTTTGCCTTACAGCTCAGCTCCTTCTTCACCACAACGGACCGGTACAGAGTCCGCAAAACTGCAGATGCTGCACCAATCCGTCTGTTAATCTCACGCTCCATTCTTCCCTCACTCGTGAACAAAACCCAGAGATACTTGAACTCCTCCACTTGAGGCAGAACCTCGACCTGAAGAGAACAATCCACCCTTTTCCGGTTGAGGACCAAAGGCCTCAGATTTGGAGGTGCTGATTCTCATCCCAGCTGCTTCACACTCGACTGTGAACTGCTCCAGTGAGAGCTGAAGATCACGGCACGATGACGCCAACAGGACCACATCATCTGCAAAGAGCAGAGATGGAATCCTGAGGCCACCGAACCGTAAACCCTCCGCCCCCTGACTGCACTGAGAAATCCTGTCCATAAAAGTTATGAAAAGAATCTGTGACAACGGGCAGCCCTGGCGGAGTCCAACTCCCACCCTGAAGGGGTACGACATACTACCGGCAATGTGAACCAAATTCTCGCACTGCTTGTATAGGGACTGAACAGCCCGTAACAACGGACCCCCAATCCCATACTCATGGAGC